GGGTGGCCCTGCTCATACGTCACCGGCTTGTCTCCTTTCCCGACTCGCACTCTGGCCGCTCGGTTCTGCAAGACAACACCCATGAAAACAACAGCAGGGCCAGGAGAGGGGGTAACGTCTTCCCCTCTCCACTGGCATTAATCGCCCGGGGGGACCATGGCAACAGGTTGTCAGGGCGCTTGGCAAGACCCCCAGGTACCAGGCCGACCCCATGTGCCACCTTCCTTGGGACTGGCGCCGCCATGTCCCTTCACGCACGGCCAGCAGCGGAAGAGCCGGGTGCGCGCGGCTTCCTGCAGAAAGCTGCACCTGTGTTCACGTCCCTGCTAACAATGCCCCAGATCCTACCCGGACAGCGACTGGGACTCACTTCCACTCTCAGGGCAGCCAAAGGTGCAGGCTACAGCGCAAAGCCCAGAAGCTTCAGTCCCCTGCTGCCCTCGCACAAGGCAGAATCACTTCTGTGCCTCAGTTTCCCTGAGGGACATGATGAGGCAGCGACTTCGTGGCAAACCTGAGTGTAGAGCCCAGAAGTCCCAACTCCCAGCCCTAACCACAGCACGGCTGCTGGGCCACATGGAGCTGGGATGGGCTCCGCTAGAGACAGCAAAGGCTCCCGGGCCTGGCCTGCGAGCAGGGTCCTGTGCTGCCCAGCTGCTTGCTCGCTGCCTTGGGCCCCGCAAACTCTTTGGCCAGGCCTTGAGGTGCTGGCCCTTCACACGGGGTCCTCTCCACCTATGGCTTTGCAGGAGCAGAGGAGCTGTTACCTACCTTTCAGCTCCTGGAATTCCTGGAGGGGCTGCCCACGGGGATCCCACCGCTGGCCCCAGCCTCCCAAGTGGGCGACGCGTACATGGGCCGTGTGCGCCAGTGGTGGGATCTCACAGACAGACCCTCGCAGCAGCAGCCACGGGGTTAACGGCAGGACTCCCCACCACAGCCTAACGCACTTACCTTGTGACATACAGCTGTGGTCTGAATAGCCCGGCTGCAAGGACGGAGCCAGGAGAAAGCGCCCCGGGACCATGGGGTGGCCTAGCAAAGCAAAAACCAAGGAGTCAGGGAGCAAGGGAGGTGATGAGCGCAACACACCCCTGGCTACATGCCGGGGACTGACCCAGGAGCTGCAGCACCAGACACGAGCCCCTGGCCGCTGAGCTGCAGGAGTCACATTTGCGGGCGCCGGGAGCCACCTGCTAGACTGAGCCATGGCACGCCCAGAGTCTGTCTAGTGCCCTGCTGGCCAGCTCCAGAGCCACGGGCTCCTGGGAGCTTTGCATCCCCCCGTGAGCTTGGCTCTCGGGGCATGCAGCAGGCCACGCCCGGCCCGGGGCTGTGGATGTGAGGTGCGTTGCCACCTGCCACCAAGCGGCTGCAGGCCTGGATGGCAGCATGGGTCAGCGCACTGCAGCTCCTGGGCCACACACCTGGCCGGCTCTTGCGGGCACGATAAGGTGACCAGACGTCCTCCTTTGAGAAGGACAGTCCTCCCCAATAATTACATCCTCCTTTTGTCCTTCTTTGAAAAAAATGGTCTTTTGCCAAAAACATTTATCCCGCTGTTTTTTAAAGTATCATTATACTGCAATTGAACCCCTGTTAAAAGGCTTAATATACAGTAAAAGTACACTTAGAGGGTATTTATGAAATGTTATTGTTTATTTTGAGCCATTTTAATTTAATGTCAATGTGATTTTTTAGTTGACATTGACACAAATACTAATTTTGGCGGTGTAAATCGCAAAGGCAATGAAAATGTTCATAAGAAAATGATGCATTTAATTGGGAAAGCGATTACTCTCCTCACCTCAAAAAAGATATTTTGGCCTTGGAAAGGGTTCAGAAAAGGGCAACTAAAATGATTAGGGGTTTGGAACGGGTCCCATATGAGGAGAGGTTAAAGCGACTGGGACTTTTCAGTTTAGAAAAGAGGAGACTGAGGGGGGATATGATAGAGGTCTATAAAATCATGAGTGATGTGGAGAGGGCTGATAAAGAAAAGTTATTTATTAGTTCCCATAATAGAAGAACTAGAGGACACCAAATTAAATTAATGGGTAGCAGGTTTAAAACTAATAAAAGAAAGTTCTTCTTCACACAGCGTGTAGTCAACCTGTGGAACTCCTTGCCAGAGGAGGCTGTGAAGGCTAGGACTATAATAGAGTTTAAAGAGAAGCTAGATAATTTCATGGAGGTTTTAGCCAGGGGATAAAATGGTGTCCTTGGCCTCTGTTTGTCAGAGGCTGGAGAGAGATGGGCACAGAGATGGCTTGATCATTGTCTTCGGTCCACCCTCTCTGGGGCACCTGGTGTTGGCCACTGTCGGTAGACAGGATACTGGGCTAGAAGGACCTTTGGTCTGACCCAGTACGGCCATTCTTATGTTCTTATTTACATTTTGAATGATTCACTGTACAAGTTACATCATTAAAGACTTTTTGCGAAGAAGCCTCAGTTGAATATAAAAAACTGTTGGGATATTCGAAAACAAGATAGTTAGCTTTAATGCCAGCCATTGAATGAAAGCTGCAATTGTTCGAGCCTTTAAAATAATATTTTCTAAGTTTGGGAAAATGTCCACTGATCTTGGAAAACTTTAAGAATGAATCTGCTGAAGTAACTCTATTTTGTTCTCAATCAAGCAACTTTGTTCCAGTCAGTTATAAAAAGTATTGAAAAAGAGCATATAACGTCTACAGAAGTGGGATTGCATGTTAAACAATTAAAGGAGCAACTTTAATCACATCTTGAGTCCAACTTCCTTCCAATGGTTGTAATTACTAATTTAAACAAATTACAAGAGAGCAATCCAGGAATGAAGAAAGAATTTACGAGGGAGGCTTTTATAAAAATGCTCTTGAATATCTAGAAAATTGGACTAAGCACAACAAACCAGTGTACATATTTGATTGAATACTACTGAATGAAGAAATTCAATGGAATAAAATCCCTGAAACAGTTTTATTCGTTAAAGAAAAATTTAGCATCACAATAAATGACAATTTATTGTTCGACAAAGTACAAAGAATTCACAATAAAAGACAATGAATGGACTGAACGCCAAATTGATAAAAAATGGATCGAGATTTTTAATTTCTTAAAAGAGTGACAAATATTGATGTTTTTAATGTTACATGACTGTTTTTAAGTCAAGTCTGTCTGTCTTATAAGACGACGAATATCGTGATCATTTATTTATAGGATTATTTATATATGGACACAAGTAAATATTTTTTGTCAACACAGCGTCCTCCTCGCACATTTTCAAATTCTGGTCACCTTAGGGCACGAGCCGCCTCCCCCAGTAACAGGAGCACCTGAGCAGCGGGGCAGAGAGC